AGCAGGCTGTAAGCTCTAGCACAGTTTGATCTGAGCAAAGTTGTCAACCCAAAAGACAGTATCGAAAGATTACAGGTAAGAAAATAATAGAGTTGTTCTGTGTCATTTGTTGATCAGGCCTCATGTGATAACCTGATCATAACACATCACAGCCGAAACTTGCCTTTAGCTGGTTTCCTTACCTCTAGTCAGAATGAATTAGTGACTTTTAGATGCTGAGCCTGCATCCAGGGAGTCATTTAGCCTTAGGCTCTATGTTAATGGAAGAAATTGTCCGGTTCCACCATGCACTCCTTGCATGATGCCACTGCCGCTCTTAGGCCTTGATCAGGATCTTCAGAGCCACAGAGCAGTCGAGTCCTCACTGCATCAGCGGGCATGTTCTGGTCCATATTCCAGCGAAACAGCAGTGCTTCTGCACGTCAAAGCAACCCCCGAAAGCCAAGCGCTAGGACTTGGGACTATTCCTAACTGGGGAGCTAGCCCGAGGACAGTAGCGGCGTTGGGAACCAGGTGACCACCCAGGGCCCCACACTTTAGGCGGCCCCAAAATTTTGTAACAAATTTTTGGGGGGGTGAAGTTTTTGCAAAGAAGTGCTCTAATTTGCATTCTAACACTCGACTATTTATCTAATTCCCCCAAAGAATATTAAGAAGATCCACGATACAACTGTGGTGGGTTAATATTTACTTGACTACCTCTAAGGCAGGGGTGGGCAAAATGCGGCCTGCCAGGCCATTCTATCCAGCCCGCAGGGCCTCTAAAAAATTTAGAAAATTAATATTTATCTGCCCCCGGCTGCCTGTCACGCGGCCCTTGATGGCTTACCAAAACTCAGTAAGCGGCCCTCCGCCCAAAATAATTGCCTGCCCCTGCTCTAAGGGGTCCCAAAGGACTCTCTTGCCCAGGGCCCCAACAACCCTGGGCAAGCTGTTCGAGAAAATTATTCTGGCACATATCCAGGAGGGGCCAGCAGGGAAATGCATGCTCAGGGGCAACCAGCACGGGTTCATCAGCAGCAGGTCATGTCAGACCAACCTGGTGGCCTTCTACGATCAGGTCACTAAATCATTGGATGCAGGGGTAGCAGTGGATATAGTCTTCCTGGACTTCCGGAAGGCTTTCGACACTGTCTCTCACCCCGTTCTCATTAGGAAACTGGGGGACTGTGGCGTAGACACCCACACAGTCCAATGGGTCGCCAACTGGCTAGAGAGCCGCACCCAGAGGGTGGTAGTGGATGGGTCCTTCTCAGCCTGGAAGGACGTGGGCAGTGGGGTCC